GAAATGTATTTTCAGATGCCAAGTAAACTGCATCATTGCGCATGCGCAACCCGCCGTCCCCACCAAACTGGACGGAACAGAAGCAGAAGGAGGTTCTTAAAGAGACAGAGGCCAATTTCAACAAGTAGGGGTCTCTGCAGACGAGTGGGCGTGTCCCATCAAAAGGCGATTCTAAAGCGACACACCTGATTTGACGGACATTTTTAAAGGGACACACCTGACTGGACAAGCAAAAAAAGGGGCGTCACCGTACGGCACCACTTTTTCTGGAGACCCTTACTTGGGTCACATTTCTCCTGGTTAACCTTAGTGTTGGGGTCAGGGTCAGACTGAATAGAGGTCAAGCAGGGTCTAAGGATACCGTCATGTAGGCCTCGTCGCCCACAGTGTTTATGCTTTAAACACGCCCACTCTTGTGTCACGCCCACTTTGATTCCACAGATCACCCCTTCTCAATTTCAAGGCATTTAGAAGAGGAAGTGATGAGAAGATAAGTTTATTTTCTATTTAAACATAAAAACAGCATTTTAATAACAGCTAAAGGTGACTTACTGTATATACTTTATTATGGTATAGTATTTAAATGTATGCCTGAGAAACACATAATACTGGCCCTTTAACACATTCAGCTTTACCAGTTTGTCCTAGCCCTGAACAATATGGCTGCTCTCGTCGACCATAACGCCTCTGGCCGAAACACCTCTTTGAATCAGAAGTTTAGATCAACTACAGATGATTCATGGAAAATTTACTGAGGACTCGCTCATTTTTCCACTTAAAATGTAAGTACTTCTTCACACTGGTCGACTGAGCTGACACAGGTAAGATAGTAAATATTCATACCTTTTCCATAGAACCTCGTTTAAAAAAAATCAAAACATTTTAAGTTGATCATAAAAGTAATTTCTTTTTTTTTTCTTTTTCTTTTTTTTGTCATTTTCACAGGACCAAAAGAAGCATCCCTCTGGATTTTCCAGAGCCCAGCAGAGAGAAACTTCATTCCAATTTGCCCAGAGAACACAAATTGGATTTGAATTACTTCTCTGCGATTCATCATAAGTGGGTGGGATTGAGGGGATGGAAATGCCACGGGAGCTTCATAGGTGGTGCCAGGGAAGTATCATTAATCATAAAGCAGCTCGATTAAGCAGCCCCTCATCACTGTGTAGTAGGACTAATTAGAAACAGGGACTCTTGTCTGGGCAGCACTGTTAAAGCACAGACACGGTCTTCCTCTACAAAATAAAAGCCTGTTTCTAACAACAGATACAGTGTTTACACACAGTCCACACCAGAAAACGCACGCGAGTCTCCCCACACAGTCCTGAAAAGGGAAGGCTTTCTAATTTAATTGGAGCCAGCCCTCCCCTCCGTTCAGAGCTCCATGTGGTTCATTCCAGCCGCTCTGTTTCCTCAGAGCGAAGCGGGTTTGTGCTGTCATCCACACGGAGCACTGCGCTCTGCTCGGTGAACATCCGTGGAGAGATGGAGACGGAGCAGAAACCAGCAGGAACGCTTTAACTGCTGATGGGGTGAGTTTGTGTTYTTCCAGGCAGAGTTTTCTCATCTAAACAGAAAATAAAATAAGATGTTTCTTGGACTCGTGGAGTCTAAAAAAAAAAAAAAAGTCAGGTTGTTTATTTCTCAGTTGCTGCGTAACAAGTGTTCTTATTGGTTGTGATGTGTTTGCTCAGACAAAGTGGCACTTTTGTCAAATTGCTTCATTTTAGTAACCAAGCTGTAAACATGTGGCTGAGAGAAAGACAAAAAAACAGTTAATTTTACTCTGCCAGCCAGAAACTGAAGAGTACACAAGTGATTTCCTCTCTAATTCAAAGGATTCTTTTACCTTCTTCCTGCTGCTTTGAGGTTCTCTCACAAGTCAGAGGACACATATGCATACCTCATCACCCCCCACCCCCCTTTCATCAGCAAATGTCAGCCTCAGAAAAACTCTCCTCAGGAGAAAATTGTGCAACAGCTGAACAGACAACAGTTTCATCATGAAGAAGTCTGCACAGAGAGCTTGTCATTCACACCGCCAGAGGTTTTAATCAGAAAAGGTTGGCTGTGACATTCTCTTTGGACACAGATATGAAATGAAAATGAGACGTCAGACGCTGCTATTTACCTGACAACTTCAGCCAACAATAGAGTGCTCGGAGAGAAAGTCGACGCTATCTTGAGGCGAGATAAAAAGGGCTGAAAAGCCAAAAAAAATTATGGACAGAGGAAGTGAGAACAAAATATTTAGAGCGAGGGCAAATTTCTTTCTTGGGGTAAAATTATATTTGGATTCCAAAAGAAAATCCAGAGAAGAACAGAAAGGCATTTGAGTGAGTTTGTTGGGTCTGGATTTATAAAACCATTTGATCTGATTTGCTCCAAAAGCTCCTAAAATGTTAAAGTTATTAATTGGTTTGGTCATTTTTTTTCCACTGGTATAATATCTCTCTTCTGTGGGATTTAAATTTTTCTTCACTGTTATACCTTTTGGCACCTCGCTCCTCCTGTTCCAATTTAAAAGTGGACACCTCCTGATAGTTAATAACATCCCATTCACAATCCATTTATGGAACTAAAATCCCAGCTGGTTCTTGCATGTATAAAGCAATCTATTCAATGATTATTTTTGACACCACAGACTGTCAGAGTCTGTCTGTCCGGCATTTTATCCTTATTCATCCATCTCACACATGAATTTGTACGTTTGCGTGTATCTTTTTTTGTTGTGTTTGCTTTGAGCAGCGTGAGTAGAAGCTGCTATCATGACACCTGGACGATAATGTCAGCAGAGTGATTGCAAGATTGCTTTTCTGAATGCCACACATTTTATTGCCTCTTTCCTTGACAGCAATTGTCTGGCTTGTTATTTAAGCTTGTCAATGAGAGAGGACGGAAGAAGAAGACGAGGATATCGTTGTGTACTTGTAGAGCACAGGTTTGGATGTACAGTGGGGAAAGTATTCAGACCCCTTTAAAATTCTCACTTTGTTTCATTGCAGCCATTTGCTAAAATCAAAAAAAGTTCATTTTATTTATCAAGCATTCAATCAATCAATCAATCAGTCAATCAATCAATCAATCAATCAATCAATCAATCAATCAATCAATCAGTCAATCAGTCAATCAGTCAATCAATCAATCAATCAATCAATCAATCAGACTCTGACGACTGAGAAGACTCTGAAGACTGACGACTGAGAAGACTCTGACGACTGAGAAGACTCTGACGACTGAGAAGACTCTGACGACTCTGAAGACTCTGAAGACTCTGAAGACTCTGGTGACTGTGGGGACTCTGATGACTCTGGTGACTCTGAAGACTATGGTGACTGAAGACTCTAATGACTCTGACGACTCTGATGACTGACAACTGAGAAGACTCTGACGACTGAGAAGACTCTGAAGACTGAGAAGACTCTGACGACTGAGAAGACTCTGAAGACTCTAAAGACTGAGAAGACTCTGATGACTGAGAAGACTCTGATGACTGAGAAGACTCTGCAGACTCTGACGACTGAGAAGACTCTGACGACTGAGAAGACTCTGAAGACTCTGAAGACTGAGAAGACTCTGAAGACTGAGAAGACTCTGATGACTCTGAAGACTCTGACGACTCTGAAGACTCTGAAGACTGAGAAGACTCTGAAGACTCTGACGACTGAAGACTCTGACGACTGAGAAGACTCTGACGACTGAGAAGACTCTGACGACTGAGAAGACTCTGAAGACTCTGACGACTCTGAAGACTCTGACGACTCTGACGACTGGTGACTCTGAAGACTCTGGTGACTCTGAAGACACTGGTGACTCAGATGACTCTGTAGCAATAACAACTGGTTCGGATCGCAACGGCCTGCCAGCAACCGGCACAGGAGACCCCGGGGGGTTGGGAGGGTGGATGCACAGAGGCTGAGCCAGAACTCCCCATACAAACTGGTGGAGCTGCTGATGCCCGGGCAGAAACAGCAGCTCGGGGCTATCCACCAAAAAACGCTCTATTTGCCGGCATAAGAGCTGTTTGTCTTCCAGCGTGGAAGACCATTTGAGGATCCTCCACGAACCTCTGATGACTGGAGATGTCACCTCATCCTCACCGGGTGGCAAAACTGGGACTGGCTCCTCTGAGGCAGGGAGAGGGCGACCAGCTGCTGGGGATTCCAGTGACGCCGGCGAACTCCGGAGGTGAGAGGAGGGGGACTGGTGCACTGGGGGGCGGCGAGAAAAAGCGTCCAGCTCCACTCGAAAAAAAAAACCTGTGATCTGGGCGCCTGTGGGTTGGGTGCGTGGTCAGATCATTCTGTCATAAGTGTCAAAATGACCCAGGGCACAGGCAGGTTTCAAAAAGCAAAAAGCTTGAGGCCTTTAATGATGACCAAAAAGAGGGCTGATAATGCAGCAAAACTCACTTGGCTTGAGAACTTGACATGGAACATGGAACATGGAACATATGGAACATATGGAACATATGGGACATGACATGACGTGACATGACATGACATGACATGACATGACCAGGACTGAACACAATGATACACAATGATCCGACGCCAGACAGTGACGAGACAGAGCTTAAATACACAGAAACTAATCAGGGAACTTGAAAACACCTGGGGAGAAACACAAGGGTAATCAGCAGAATTAGGTGGGGCAGCTGCTCTGAGAACACAGGGGGAAACATAGAAACACTAGGATAAACAAAGTGTAAAATGAGAGACTATGACATTAAATGGAGTTTGTTTCATTTTCACATGAAAAAAAACACTTTTGCAGCTGGCTTCTGCTCCAACTGCAAAACAACATGAAAGAAAAATTAAAAATTCGAATTCAGCCAAGATAAGAGAGGAAAGGGGAAAGTGCCTGAGGTTTAGTTTGAATCCCCACCTCATATGTCACAGAACATTACTTCTCCCACTGAGTTAGAAAACCCAAAGTAAGCTCACAATTCCGCTGTGGGTTTTCCTGCGGTGCCGGTATTCAACGTGTTGAGCGAGTAATCTCATTACTGTGTCTTCATTTATTAAGAATTTCATACTTTGTGGCCCGCGTGGAGTGAGCTTCCAGGCCAAATATGGCCTGCAGGCCACCAGTTGATAATTGCTGTTTTAGGCATTTATCGATCATCGTGAATAACCAGGCTTAAGACCACGCAGTCACACAAAGAGACATCAAAAATTAATGATTTTTTTTTCAAGGTAAGCAAAAAGAAGCCTTTAAAAATCAGTGGATTGTTGAAGCAGGGATATTTCAAAGCAGGTGGCCATGCTTTAAACATTAGGTTATGATCAATTTTTAAAATCAATCTCCACTGAGGTTGTTCAGTTCTGAATGTATTTTCTTAAACACAACAGGCAAAATCTTTAGTGGCTTTCTAAAGTTAACTTAACGCTTTGGCAGACTTTTTTTACCCCCTTCAAGCTTTGTAATTAATGCTGAAATAAAATATTTGGTTATCTTCTCAACCGTTCATTTGTAATAAATTTTCTGCTCTGGTTTACAAAAGACTCAACGTGTAAAGATCAATGCTGAACTAAGAAACGTTCAGCTGTCAGACAGCAGCAGCAGCTCTTGCTGATTTGAAATTCATTGTTTTTACGGTGTTGAGCATCACGCTGTGCAGACTTTGGAGCTCACTGAGCGTCTCCTGTGAATGTGTTGATACGGTTGGCATGTCACATCTTTTCTTTCTTTGGCTTGAAACAGGGGCAGTCCTACAGTATGTTAAGACAGAGAATCTCTGGAATAGACAGGTTTCTTCACAGAAAAAGCGACGCTTTTGGTTTGCATTGTTTAAAACGTGCAGCGTAACCTCCGTATGAGATTGACTTTTTTATTGGATTAGAAATTTTTATTCTAAAATGAGTCTAAAGCAAAAAAAAGGTATGCATTTTGTTTCACATGTCTGATCTGAATGCAAATCAAAGCACAGCAGTGCAATGATGAAACTGAATATTTATGGTCTGTTCCTGAGCCAGAGATGTTCTCGGGTAATTGTGAGTCTTTTTAACAGCAGATGAAATTGCACTTGAAAGTTGTAGGCAGGTTGCTTCACTGCTGGAATGAGAGGCTCGAGTGCTTTTTACCTTTGTGAGCAAATCACTAAACTACCCTCTTTTGTCACTGACACAATGGTGAATGGTGGTGCTCTTAAAAATCGGTGTAAAACAAGCAGAAAAAGCCACTAAATAATGAAATTTTATAATAAATCTTTCATTTGGATTGCTTAAAGTTACATCAAATTAACTCATTGTTGTTGTTTTCCCCTCTCTCCCCGTTTTGCAGAATGCATCATCTGTCAGCAAACCCTGTTTCCAAATCCTCTCGGATTTCACTGTGGAGGTTGTGAGCAGCTACCATGACGTACACCAACACCAGCACACTGACAGCCAACGTCAGTGGCGTTCCTGATGGCTACGACTCCGGGGGAAACATTTACCGGCCCTTCTCGGTTTTCAGCGTGCTCACCCTCACGTTGCTGGCCATGCTGGTGGTGGCCACCTTTGTGTGGAACCTGCTGGTGCTGGTGACCATCCTGCGGGTGAGGACGTTCCACCGGGTGCCCCACAACCTGGTGGCCTCCATGGCCATCTCGGACGTGATGGTGGCGGCGCTGGTCATGCCGCTCAGCCTGGTGCACGAGCTGAACGGCAGGCTGTGGAAGCTGGGCCGCGTGCTGTGCCAGATGTGGATCTCGTTCGACGTGCTCTGCTGCACGGCCAGCATCTGGAACGTGACGGCCATCGCCTTGGACCGCTACTGGTCCATCACCAGGCACCTGCAGTACACGCTCAAGACTCGYAAAAAGATTTCCAACGTGATGATCGCGCTCACCTGGCTGCTGTCCTCCATCATCTCTCTGTCGCCGCTCTTTGGGTGGGGGGAGACGTACTCGGAAGGGATGAAGTGCCAGGTGAGCCAGGAACCGTCCTACACCATCTTCTCCACCTTCGGAGCGTTCTACCTCCCACTTTGTGTGGTTCTYTTTGTGTACTGGAAGATCTACAAGGCTGCAAAGTTTCGGATTGGCACCCGCAAGACGAACACCATCACGCCCATGGCTGAGGTGATTATATTCCTCTCTTATAACATTAAATGATTACTTATCTTTGTGCGTCATACTGCATAGAACTGTTTATCTCCTCTTGCTATCGATRGCCCCCTAATGTAGATTAAAGTGGCATTGTTTTTCGAAGTCACTGATGAGCTGTTCGTCAGTAATCAGGGAGATGTGCAAGTATTGGATGTGTGAGCATACAGGAAAATAATAGAAGTCATCCCGCTCATCACCAACAGCTTGTTGATGTGCGTAGGCTGAGGCTAAAAGGCTATAAATACCGTCTCCAGCATTGTTAATGGGCCTCTGCACCTTCCAAGCTTTGTCGCTTATCTAATTAGCTGACATAAAAGTCTCGATCTGTTCCGCACCGCACTAGCAAACATTTAATCAGACAAGTTTCTCCGGTGCAATTTGAGTCGCGCTCCCACTTTTCGTCCACAATGAGTCTATCCAAAGCACATCATTGGTAGCGATTACACTTTTGTCCTCATACCTCTCGAATCTTTTTGAAATCATTCGACCTGAAAAACCYCTCTACAGAGAAAAAAACATTCATGGATTTTTTTTCCCTGTGTCTCATTTCCTTTTTGTTGTGCAGCTGTAGCATCGGTTTGCCCAAAATTAGGAGCTCATGGTCAAGGACTAATTAARTAATCTTGCTGACTAAATTAATTAGCGTGATACGGTATTGCTTAACTTATATTGAGTTTCATCACACAGGCAATGAATCTGTGTGGAACAGCAATTATTCAGAAAATGTTTTGTTAATATATTTTTTTCCACGGGGGATATTTTGATTATTAGTATCTCGGTACAAAATGTACCCCCTGTCATTTCAAAGCTTGTGAAGTGTCTTTCTGAGCCACAATCTGAGTAGCGACATCTTTGAAAAGAAGCCTTCTGCTCTCATCTCAGACAGAGGAAAAATTCAGCCATATTGAAGTTTGTTTCTGTGTAAAGGTTACAAATAATTATCACTGAACAAAATCTGAAATTCAGCGACAGTTTCTCACTCAAGCTGCAATATTTTCCACGTGTTTGACAATGTATTCCCATCAGTTTTTTTTAACTGAGCTGAGGTTTCTGGTTGATAGTGTGGTGATGACATGACTCCAACTGTTCTTGGCTTTTGTTCTGCAAAATTTAGTATCCGCAGCAAATTCTTGTTTCTTACTCTGTTGCCTATAACAACAGCATGAAGAAGCAYGAGTTGAAGAAATCTAGACACAATGTGGGCAATTGTTTGGCATTGTTCAGAGTCATCTTGAACCTGCTGTCTTGTTGCCAGTGAAGCAATGCCTGTTTTTCTTGAATTGGTTGGAGAAAACCTTAAATTTATTATGTACAAACGGGTAATCAGACTGCTTTGATAARTTCTGAGCTATGGAAGCAAATTTGCAAAAGAWATGACGGATGTCCTGATGCATCTCAGTAATCCAGGTAAAAAATCAAAAAGAAAAAAAWTGTATAGGTCTTCTGGACGGGTTCTTCTGTAATGAAACGTTTCGTCTCTCCTCCAAGAGACTTCTTCAGTCTGAGAGTTTCAGGCAAAATTCAGGCTTTTAAGCACTGCCTCCATGTGACTGATACTCACACCACATGGCTAAATTCAGGCTTTTAAGCACTGCCTCCATGTGACTGATRGAAGGTGTCKTAGGTGGCTTAGGTGTCAACGATAGCCATGTGATGTGAGTATCAGTCACATGGAGGCAGTGCTTAAAAGCCTGAATTTTGCCTGAAACTCTCAGACTGAAGAAGTCTCTTGGAGGAGAGACGAAACGTTTCATTAGAGAAGAACCCGTCCAGAAGACCTAWACAWTTTTTTTCTTTTTGATATGATGGATGAWAACCACATTAAACAAAGACAAGAATAAAATGAAGCAGATTGAATCCCATTTTGTACCCAGAAACTCACTGCTTGAAATTAGGTTTTTGAAAATTTCTCCCACGGGTCTTGACAGCTAAAAGGAAAATTAAAATTRCATTCGAACCGGCACATATCAGAAAATGTCTTATGTTTTTTTTATTCTTTTTTGTCCTGCAAAACATGTCTTGTGCATCAAATCATTTCTGTGAGATTACATTGTTTTCTCACTTTTTTCTAGTCAAATAAATATTTTTATATGTCATCTGAGTGCACCAGTACAGTGCAAAGTTTATGTCAGCCCAAGTTGTGTTGTTGAAGATTTATGCAACTTATTAATATTGAAGGCTTGTAAATGTGAAATCACTATTTCAAACAGAGGCTACTTCTGCTCTGATATAACTTTTGGTCCACTTTTAATATACAGAAACCAAATAAAAGGGGCAAAGATTGAACTATTATGTATCTGTCATACAGGAGAAACTACAAATTATGTAGTACACCTGCAGCATTCCTATTACTTCATTTTGTGAGTGTGTGATTGAGTTTGTCTCTCTCCTGACATCCTGAATAATGTATTTTGGGTGACTTTCAGTTTTCCYTCATCATTTAAATTGCAACTTTACAACTGGCTTATTGAATATTRCTGAATCGTTTCCTATTGAGGCACATGAATTATTGAAATGTTTCATAAAAAACATATTTTACTCTTTTAAAAGATCGTTTGGTGTTTTAACAGCTTTTCGTATTTTATTTGTATTTCCATGGTCCATGAAGGCACGAGACACAAAAGCATCTCGTGCCTTTCTAAGATTCAACATGTCTCTTACGTCTCCTGTGATAGTTGTTCAAATATACAGTATATGAGTGAAGTTTTCTGAATCAGAAGCAAGGCTTTTATCACCCTCCAATTTATTATACTGTCACAATTTCTTCTTTGAAGACCAATGGGTTCAGTTATTATTTGGTGAAAGACAGTCCTGCTAATCAGCCCATTAGTGTGGCACGGAACCAGAGTGCAAGCCACAGCAACCCTGATAAATACCAAGTTGGTTGCAACACATTGGTCAAGTTTGTAGGATTTGTTGGCCATTTTGTTTTTTCACAAGTTCTCAATTTTCTTAACTCAGAAGAAGAAATCTCAAAGTACAACTGACAAAAAAATAAATAAATAAAACTGTTTAAAACAATCCGGTGGAGAGTCAGGCCCCGCTGGCTGGTGCAGCGTTACGAAGGTTAGCCGTTAGCTGTCCCTTTGTAGATCCCACACAACAAAAAAACCATGTCGATTGACGACTGATCTGAGCTGAGCTGCTGTAACCTAAAGTCAGGCCTGTGGGTCATCGTCAACAGTCGAAGTCTCTTATTGATCCCCACCCCCACACACACACCTACTATGTCTCGCTATCCTTGTGGGGACTTTCCATTGACTTCCATTCATTTTTTGGAAATTTTATATCCCAACCCTAAAGCATTTACTCTAGAGTTTGAGCCTAAAACTAACCTAAATTCAATTCACACCATGGTCCTAAACAAGCTTTGATCCCCACAAGGAGCATCCGGTCCCCACGAGGCTGCATTTTCCTAAAATAATTGTCCCAACCAAGTAGCAAAAACAAGGGCGCACACACACACACACACACACACACACACACACGGCGATAGACCTACAGAAAAACGAACCCTGGTAAATGGCTGCTTCAAAATCAGAAACCAGGCATTAGAGACCCCAGTGATCGTAATCAGATCTGTTGTAGGGACCAGAGTCAACAACATCAAAACCGATTTGAAACAGCTGCCTAAGAAAACACAGAGATTGTTCAATTAGCAGTCATGKAAGCTAGCTATGTCACTCAAAGAACCCTTAAAATGAATGTTGCATCAATGTGTCACTTTGGGTAAAAAAAAAATGCAGTGGGAGCTTTCTCTGGACCCCTGCCATAACCCGTCCAGTGAAGACATGTTTCCAATTTAACACAGAGGAGCTGTATGAATTCTCCTCCCACAGGTTGATTATCATAGTGACATTGCTACAACTTCAGTGTGAATAATGCCAGACAATGTTGCACATCTAAAATAGGAAATAATCAGTCAGAGGAAGGTGGCTCCTTGGTTTGCTTCAGAACTGTGACATAAGTAGTTGGTATACAGAATATAATGCTGGAAAGACGATTTAAAAATATTTACTTGCTTTAATAATATACAAGAAAGCTCTTTGTAAAGCTACAACTCCAAGTTGATTAAAGGAAAACAAAATGCAGGTTGGTTTCTTTTAGTTCCATGTCCATGAATCCTTTCAAATTTGATAAATTTTATTATTCTTTTCTTTTGCTAGAGATAAAAAATCAAGGTTATACTTCCCTACTTCACTASTGAGACAGATCTACTACATCAGCTTTAGAAATGACTGTAGAGCTTGAACTGTTTTCTTTAGCTTTCTGGTTTTACAAGATCTTAAGTCCATGTAGACCCCACCCCAAACAGAAATTTGAAAGAAAATTAATTCCCAGTTAATCCAAATATTTAGGTTAAAATCAACTTGTCTTTATTGACAGGTTAAGCACACTAACTTTACTTTTGCATTTACTGCAATTTATTTAGGGTTAGTAGCTAACCATGTTATTTTTTGTTGCTAAAATCATCAAAGATAAGGCTGTGAATCAACCAAAACTRGCTATTTGGCTATTGATAATGCATTTAAGAGTTTCGGTCAGGACTTAGAGCTTATCATAGCACAGAAAAAGTATTGGTGAAACTTAAGACAAAATAAAACTTGCCTTGTTCTTTTAGATCTCAGTGGTTAAGCTTTTTTTTTCTGTACCTTATTGTAAAGTGTTACCTTAATATTAATGAAACCAGAAGAGGCTGATTTAGGTTATTTTAGCTTGATACAAATTGGATTTTCTCAAACACTGTGATTGGTCACGGAGTTCCACAGGGTTCTGTGCTTGGATTGCTATGTTTTAGTTTAAATGCACTTGAAATGTTCACCTTAATTACACAACAATTTTTATGTTGCTTATCAATAAAAACACATTTAGAAAAATGGTCTTAAATTCTTGAGTTTTGAATGACTTTGCTGCTATTCAAAAGCAAAGTTTAGTTTCTTTTTTTTTTTTTACTTAAACATTTCAAGATCCTGTAATCATAGCCTCAGTTTGTRTTCCCGCATAAAAGCAGAAACTGCAGGTTTACTTGCAGGTTCCAGAGCTTCTAATAGTAGACCACAAGATAAAGCTTTCAGATTGCACCTTTTCTTTTTCTTTTGAACAAGTTTTCACTTTGAGCTCATGAGATGATAGGCTTGAAAACTTTCCCTTTTGATAAAGCTTACAGTTGGGTCTGTTTTGGTTAATCYGGAACCTTTTCTTTTAGTTCTGCTGCTGTAATGCAGGAGGCCTCCCACAGTGCACAGAGAAATATTCTTTACTTAATCGCTTACTTCTTTGATTTGCATTCCTACTGTATTTACTGCTGTCTGTGACTTTATATTTTCTCCATTCTTTTAGCAGGAAATCCTGGCCATTTGCCTTTGTTACTGTCTGCGTCTTTGTCTTGTGTTTTCACCGCACCAATTTGTCGAGGCAGATGGCAGCTCGTGCTGAGTCTGGTTCTGCTGGTGATCTCTTCCTGTTTAAAGGAAGTTAAAAGAAAGACTTCACTGTTACCCCCTGGCCTGAGCTTGCTTGGGGGTGGGGGGGTGGGGGGGTTAAATGAAAGAAGATTCAAAGCAGTTTGCTTTTTGTTGCAAACTATGATTACATAAAWACAATCACACTGTACCCTGGGATGACTTTTGGCTGCACAAACAAACTGAGTCGCTATTTATCCATWTACTAATTAATAAGCTTTTTCAGTCATCAGCTTTAAGATAAATAAATGTTATGTTCACATTTTTATAGCTTTCTGWTGCCTTTTGCACTGTATAATTTAATATCAACACTGACACCAGTTCAAGTCTCACAGTTTTAGTCATTAATGCAGTTTTTCTTCAAACAGCAGATTCCACGTCCAGTTTTGTCCTTTTAAGTTAGAAAGATGGCTTCTTTTTTTCATGTGAAGTGTCAGAWATGGAATTTTCCTGAAATCAATTCAGCTCCCCTGGGTGCAACAGTAAAGGTTAAAAGTCAATAAACTTTACAGTAAAAAAAAAAGGCAGTTTGGTATTTTTGTGTTTGTAGAACTGTGTGTATTTGAAATGCTTTTGCAACTTAYGCAACTACATTTTAAAGGGACTTAAAGCGTTCTTTGATATCAAACTTCCTTCTTTGACCTCTCCTGTCSAACTAAATCTATTCAACTTTATTGACTCCGGAGAGATATTTTTCCTCCTGGTGCAGGTCCTTGGTGAAATCATTGAACAAACCGCAGCAGCACTGCAGTCTGTCTGCTTCAYTTAAAACTGCTTTTTGCTGTGACCTGGACAAACTTTACCACACAACGAAGAAACGTCTGTCAGCCTTGAGCTCCAGGAAACAAATGAGAGTGGACACTGACATCCTGTTTTGTACTCAATGAGACACTGTAATAGGAAAAAACCAACAACTGCAAAGTAAGACAGATTTACAGCGGGTAAAATAAGTATTGAACACGTCAACATTTGTCTCAGTAAATATATTACTAGAGGTGCTAATG